CCTCCCCCTCTCTCGCTCCCTCGCCGACTCCCCCTCCCCCGTGTCCCTCCCCTCTCCTCCTCTCCTCCCTCTATCCCCTCTCCCTCCCCTCCTCCCCGGCTCTCCCTCTCAGTCTCCGGCTTTTCTCTCTCTCAATCTCTCTCTCTCTTTCGGGCGGAGTCGCCCACCACTGCCAGCCCAGCGCTGGGGGGACCTGCTGCAGGCTGTAGCTGCAGGTAAGAGACCCCATTGGTGGGTAGGTGGGGGCGTGGGGAAAGGACGGGGTTACCCCAGGCGCGGAATGGGGGCGGTTCGGGAAGCCTGAAGCTGGCTTCCCTGGGCTGGTTTATGGAGGTGGGGGGCTGCCTGGCCCAGCATGGGTACCTTCTGTGGGGTGGGAGTGCCACCAGCCGCCCCAACACCTTCAGCCCCTCCTGGTTCTCAGGCGGCTGGGGAGGGGGGCCGCCTGGGTACCTGGGGGGGAGGACACCCCGCCCCCACCCCGTCTGGGGCACCCCCCCTCCCGCGCTCTCTACCTCCGCCCCCGCCTTCCTGTGTCTGGGTCTCATCTTTCTGTCTCTCCACATCTGTCAGGGGTCTCTGTCTAGCAGAGCCTGGCCGCCTCTGGGAGTCTCTGTCTCTCAGTCTCTCACTCCTGTCTCACTCTCTGTGTCTCTGTGCCGGGGGGCTCTGTCTCTACTGTCTCTAAGTCCTGGGTTTCTCTCTCCTTTCCTCTTGCGCCATCTCTGTTTCTCTGTGTCTCTGTGTCTCTGCCTCTCTCCCCTGTCTCAGCCTTCCAGTGTCTCTCTCTGTCTCTGCTTTCTCCGTGTCTCTGTCTCTTCCCATGTCCGCATCTCTCTCTCCCTCTCTCTCTTTCTCTCTCTCTCTCCCCCTCATCTCCATCTCTGTCTCTGGGTATCTCAGTCTCTGTTTCTGTCTCTCTTTCCGCTTCTCTGGCTCTCCCTGGGAGCCGGTGCGCCCTCCTCCTACACACCACTGTCTCCGCCCCTGGCAGGGGAGACCTGGAGGAAGAAGACCTCCCCCACCCGCCAAGTGGGCTCCCCCAGGCCTGGAGTCCTCTAAACTCCTCTCCCCACTTGAGCAGAGCTCCCTTGCTCTCTCTGGTCCTCCCAGCCGGCACCCACCCCAACTTTCCCCTGAGAACCCAGCCCGCCTCCCCTTGCCTTGTTTCTGACATTCTGAGGCTGGTCCTTCTTGCAGTTTAACCGGTAGCCTTTGTAGTAGAGATGAGACCAGACCTCCCTTCAAGCTAACCTCCCCATTCTTCCTCGTATAACTGGACCAGTCCTTCCTACCGTCTAACTTCCATACCTCTTGCTGTTTGTTCAGCTCTTGATTCATTCATTCTTGTTGATAATTACTGAGTACCTTTCCTGCTCCGAGCAAGCACTGGGTACTGGGTTAGACCAGGCCAGTCCTTCCTGCAGTCTCACTTCCATCCCTTTCCTGGTGTGCCAGCCTCACACCTGTCTCAGTGGGGGTGGGTCTCAACAGCTTCTCCGCCACCTCTTGGGGGGTGCTGAGAGGGCCCTGGCCAACACACTGTCTGCCTTCCTTGAGTGAAGGGGGCCCTGGAGAAGGTGGGCGAGAGAGTGAGTGATGGAGAAAAGGTATGAGGCTGTGCCTGTAGCCCTGGTCTGTGTGTGTGTGTGTGTCTCCCTGGCTGCAGGTGAGATCCCAGCCCTATGTGACAGTGCCTGCGGGGGGCTTCAGATGACTTTAAAGAGCACTAGGTTAAGAGCCCTGTTCCTCCTTTGGACCTCAGTTTACCTATTATCAGTGTATCACAGCCCCAAGCACCCAAACCCTGTGATGTGATCCCCACACTGGACCATTTCAAGGTGGTTGGGAGCGCCTGGGCTCACGCTGGGGCAGTAAACGTGCATGTTTAGAAGTCTGAGGGCCAGCCCCCC